GGCCGAGGGAAGGTGAGCATGATGAAGGCCTGAGAGAGGAACTTCCAGATGCCGAGGAAGGTGTTCGAGAGTGACCCAAAAGGGTATTTTCTGTTTTTCTTTTTTCTTTTTCTATCCTCTGCAACCAGACTAAAACCCTCCTTAACTGAAGACTCTGCAGTAAAGCAAGCCTCGAAGGTGGTTTGTTCTTTGTTATGTACTGCAGCATTTTGGTGCAGGCTCTGTACTGCAGTACTGTGTTTCTCAGTGGGCCTGAGCCCGAAATAAGTAATATATGTTCATTTTGTTTGTTTCATCTGATTATCAAGAAATGTGTAATGATGAGAAACATATGATGTTTAATGAAGCAGTGTTCATGGGGATGTTGTGAATTCCAAGCAAACAAGGTGGTCAGTCCAGTGTAATCCCTCTTCTGCAGATGATATAAGATGTAGTAGCAATCTCTCTCCGTCTCCCTTTCTCAAACTATATTTGATCATCTAAGCTTTCACAAGTTTCTTCACATATATGATACTTCATTTTTCGAACTCAACTATCTATTCTTTCTTTATTTTGTACGTAAACAAACCTACGTTTTTCTCACAGGAACCAAATGGAACACAAGTTCTCATCCCGGTAACCTGTGGCCTAATTGACCTCTTTAGCACCGAGCACGTAAGACTTTCTTATTCCTTTCATCTCAAAAACTAAACAGATAAAAATGGAGAGAAAATGAATATTTTGTTAGTAATTCATAGTAAACTGCTCTGCTCATTTTTCTTCTCCAGGTCCCAAAATATTGAAACATAATGGACTAGATGAATCAAGAAAACATGAATCAGAAAACGCATTTCCATTTTAACCTTAAGGAACAACTTTTTAATAGTCTTCTCAAGGATTATTTACAAAATTGGTTCTCCGATATGTATTTTATTGATCTGGAGTTCTTTAGGTTTTTGGATCTACCGGGCACTAGGGTGGAGGTTCGCTGTAGCCACTACAAGGATGCGGTGGACGCTGACGAGGGGAGGCGTTGGAGGGGTGACAACATGGTCGAGATTCGTAAGAACAAACTCAAGTAGAATTTACTAAAGAAGCGATGCGGAGGGCTCCAACAACGACAACAATTCTCGGTGTATCTTCAATCATCTGTGATCAAGAAAAAGGTATATTATTTCATTGGTCGGTTTTGAATTCATTCTTTAATGAAGGGTTAGCTTTTTCCATTGAAGCTCCCATATTAAGATTGGCGAGTAAAATGTGGGTCTATGATCTTCCCTTAAATTAGAAATGCTTGCAGAGTTTCATATTAGAAATAGCCAACTCAAGTATACTATATAAATTGTCGTTCTTCATGCATTGAAAAAACTCATTATACAACTAAGTCAACAATCACTCACACACACATACTCAAACAGAGAAAAAGTTAAATTTCTCAAACAAGCTATCTATAAGTAGCACCAAATTTGTTCAGATGGTCACTGCATTCTTAGACAAACTATGGAAAAAATGAGAGTGCTTTACTTGATAGTAATATAATAATCCATATCGTGCTTATTCAAGTAGTTTCTTAGGGCCATGACGACCGACAAGTCATGTCTGGCCTAAACCAACCATTGCTGCATTTTGAATGTGTTTCCGAATCCGTTTAACTGATTAAGGTATGGTATGTGCAGAAACATCCGTCTGTAATTTATTAGTTCTTTGTTTTGTCTTGGTTTGGATTAGTCTTTAATAAACGTCATATTGTTTCATACAAGTGATTTTATTTCATGAGCACATCTGTTTGATTAAGTGGAAATAAACAAATTTAGAGAATCTAATTTTTTCTTGCACAGGCGTGTAAAAGGATCCAGTAGTTTAAGGCAATGAGCAGATCATTCCTTTTGTGGTTGCAAAAAAATTGCAGGTCCTATTGATTTATAATACCCAGTGGCCATCTGTTCTATCAGGATAAGCCCAGTCCACCCAGGTGAAACATGTCCCTCCTAATCAGGGTCTCTATTAATAAAGGTATTTTATACATCCATCTGAAAATGGTTTCCTTTGTGCTCATATTGATGCTATATTATTGAGTTGTTACGTTTTTTTAAGTATTTTTTTCCTTTTATGTGATGTCTTGTTTATAAAAGTGTCTATAACAAATAAAAAGTGTGTTAATTTTTGTAAGGCTCTCTCATATCTGTACATGCACTTTTTTTCCCTTTATATCATTTTTGTTGTTTTGGGCCTTTGGTTCCATTTATTTTTGTTGGACAAAATAGAACTTTTTTTGCCCCTTTATATTGAGTGGTGCGACCCTATTTTCAAACATTATTCCTTTTTAGTTTATAGAAGAATATTTATCTTTTTTTAGAGGATTCAAGTACAATCTTTTAGTTGGCAATATGAGATTGGTGTAAGATACAGTATACGTACAAACGACACATATAAGATGTAAAAGGTTGGGCCAATGGGCAGTGAATCCGGGTTTCACAAGCCAGCAAATTGTCTGTTGACCTAAAAAATAAAATATAGATACGTAGAAAACCAATATTATCATACACCTTACCTTTTCCAAAGTGATGAAATAGTGAATAGTTCACAAATTAAATAGAATAAAACATTTTCTTGGTTGCTCGCCATTGGTGTTATATTCTGATTATTTTCCTTAAATTTTCTTGGTTGCGCAATACTGTCGACTTGGTTTTCAATTTCCTGTTTGTAGTAATTTTTTTAATTCAATTGGGTTTTTTTCCTTGTGGGCCTTTCTTTTAATAGAATTTCCGTTCTTCGTGGAGCTTAAAGCCTTAAGGATCAATTTTATCTTTTTTATTCTTTGTGGGCAAAATGTTCTGAAATTCTTGTGATACTCTGAAAGTAGATTGCTTTGCATTAGAAGTAAAATGAGTTGTATTGGTTATATGATTAAAAAACAAGCTATTATTTCATTTTTAGAAATATGTACAAAAAAATATTTGTTTATCTTGAAAAATGTGCGAAATAATATATTTCAAAATTGATAATGAGCCTTTCAAGGTTTAACAAATAGGAGTAGTTTATATGTTTAATATATGTTTTTATGTACTTAATTACAAGAGATTGAATAGTAATATTTTGTGTGGAGTTCTTTTATAGGATACAATGCAAGATAATATTGGAAAAATTATGGTCAGAAAATTTATTTGAGTCCCATTGAGGACAATAATGATGTCACAGGTGCGAGAAGGTATTTTTTTTTTTCTTTTGTCACCTGCATTAACTGAGAATTCCTACACCTAATATATTTAATAATATATGATTTACTATATTTCATTTCTTTGTTTAGTGTTGGTTTTTTCCTGGATTCATTTCCATTTGTTTGTTATCTCTGAAGCCTTTGTTTGTTCATTGGGTTAGGTGATATTCTACTTGATTGGGTTGCATGTTCTATGCAGTAGAGTTCAGGAGGTGTTCTAAGACATTGTAGCGATTGTGTTACAAGAAATTCACAGAATTTCGATAAAGGCCCAAGAGTATTTTGTTCGCTTCAGTTCTAAGATTAGGTCCCCAACTCTAGAGGTTAACATTTCTAGAGTTTAACTTTTTTACCTTACTGATTTATTGTGGCCTTCATTTTATTTCCGACACGTGTTTTATACCGATAGCATACCATATAAATGGTGCTTCTGGAAGTGTCGCATTGAGTCATGAAATACATCTGTATTTTCTGACTACATGGGAAGAATTTGAGTAACTCTTAACATCCTTGGAATGCAGGTTCACGATCTCGAGGCCAAACACAACAATCTAAGGTGCACCACGAGTGCAACGAGCGCCGCATGGTTATTGCCATTTTATGTCTGTTCTTCATTTGGTTAATTACTGCAAACGACGTGTTTTGAGTATTGTTGCTCTTTTTCACTGGTGGTGTTAGATTCTGGTGTGGACATCACACCGACTATTGTTGGACTAAAAGTGACTTAGGATGGGAAGCCGGAGATTTTAGATGTTATTGATTGGATATTTTGGCTTACAATACTTGATAAGCTCCTGAGCTAAACTCTCCTCTCCTGATGAAGAAGATCGACTCACACCCAAGTGTGTCGACGCCATGTCTGCTTTGGCCCTTACCAGGAAAGGTTCTTTCCTTGCAATTATTGGTGCGAATATTTTGGCCCATTTGTACCTTCTTCTATTTTTCCTTTTCGTAAATTCATGACAAGATTCATGGTAAAAAACTCACCAACTATTGTATAGACTATATAAGTGGGTCGGGTCGTGGATTCCCTCTACGATCGCGGTCTCCACAGGTGCAGGGGGAAAAAGCCGGTCGAGAAGCTCACTATACAGAGGGGTTACTTTCTATCGAATGAATGGCCAGTAGGAGTCCCATATATGCGGTTTTACACTTTTGCTACATATATATTTATTTGTATTTGCATCGATTATTAATTATTTACTGCTTCCTTCATCTCTGCATAGCCATCAACACTGCTAGGAACTCATATATTAGAACACAATAACATACACATGTAAGAAATTGGGATGCCTTGTTACATAAATACTATCCCCTCTCCTACACAACTAGCATAAGTCTCCACCATAGAAGAAAATGAAAAGTCCGATACTGCTAATACCGGAGTGGTTGTAATTGCCGTTTTCAATTTTTGAAAGGTTACTTGGATCTCTGTGCTCCATTTGAAAGCATATTTTTTGAGTAAGTTAGTTAGAGGCCTACTCAACATTCTATAATTTAAAAATATTTCATACTATAATCAGTTAACCCCATAAATCCGCTGGATTATTGAGGTCAGCTAGATTATTACCATGCCCCTTCGGCCCTTCCGAGTCCTGATTTGATTTGGAGAAAACAATAAAGAATGATTACGGAAGTTAAAAACTCAAACTTTCTTTGTTAAAGATTTATAATAATACATAAAATACATTTTATTATCGACTAAATTTGGGGCGGCTGTGCATGCACAGCCGTAACCCTACTAGTTTCTATCATATGAAGTGGTGATATACCTTCAAATGGTGACATGTGGCACTTTATGAGCTTTTCAAATGCTGACACGTGGCCAATACATGGAGCAAGAATTACTTAAATGCCCAATTTGCTCTTATTATCATTTTTTCTAATGTTAGGTGCCAAAATGGCATCGTTTCTTTGGCGTGTAACATCGCCTGATTTTCTGCCCGTGAAATCTGGGACATGCGAGCATTGTTTATTTCCTGCATTTTGCAGATGTGATTGCCGTGAATTATGGTGGACTCTGCCGAAAGAGTGGTTGCTTAATTCTTAAGCAAAAAAATTGGTCAAAACTATGCAAGATTTTCTTTCACTCATTCCCGTTCTTTTCTTCCATCAAGCTCTAGACTTCTCCACCTTCTCCTCTCTGTACAACAACCGATTTTATTTCCAAAATTATGGTAAGGAAGAACAATAAATTCGAGAAGGATGGAGAGAAGAAAGGGAATTTGGTAGGTAGCTTTTGGATATTTACAGCTTTTTCAGCAACTTGCCAATTCTCTGATTCTTGGGTCGTTTACAAAATTATCATGTACCAAGGCCTGCTTCTCGCAAGCGGCCGTCGTGGGTGACCGCCAGATCCCAGCTCCACAGGCCACAAGGATCGCCGCTTCGTCTGCCATCGACTGAAAGAAGGGAAAATTTCCAAAATCAATTAAATCCTCAACATGATTCAACACAACGGTAAATAGTCTTCGATAGTCGCGTGCTGTGTATTCGATTGTCATCTTCAATTGCGATATCATCTAGATAACTTATGCCGACCTCCAATCTGTGCACCTACAGTGTCTCAATTCAACTACGGATTCTGCCACTTCAAGCATCACGACCTGCTCCTACGTCGCCATAGCTCTGCGTCTTTTGTTTAGAGTAAGGAGCCCTAGACAATATTCTTCATTTTGGCTTGGATCGAGTGTTTTTTGTTTTGTTGCGAGATTAAGGGTTCAATCGTGTTT